GTTTGCATTATAACAAGGTCATATAACAGTATGATCGATGAGATCGCGAGAATGCACCCTCTTTACATTTCTTATTAATTTCATCTAATCACGTACACCACCTTCCTCCCTTATTTTTCCCCTCTAACATTTTTACTTCCACTCCTTTTTCTTTTTTTATCTTTTAAAGATATTATTATTATTATTATTATTATTATTATTATTATTATTATTATTATTATTGTTATAATATACGTTCTTATTTTTCTGACCTATTCATCTAATTAAAAATATCTCGATCTTTTGATAGTACTGAAATTTATGAACGCAGCAAATAACTTTATACCTTTTTAAATTTTTATTTAATTATTATTATCGTTGTTATTATTATACTTGTTTTTACCATGCACACAGTAATAAAAAAAAAAAAAAAAAAATAACAAATTATAAAGAATCGTATGTATGTACGTAAACTAAACCTACCTGTTGTCTATACATCAAAGTATAAATGGATTATTCGATTTTAAGGGAACTTTATCTTCTTCTACAGACAGACAGACAGACAAATACACATACACACAAATACACGTTAATCAACACGAATACATTGATACTACGCTTTTTTAATTATTCCTCGTAATTAAAAGAAATGTTGAAAGGAAAGATAAAAAGAGATTATTTATTATTAAAATTTCGTGTTCTTCATTTATGATGAACACACGAACCATACATGAGACATACATAAATACATACAAATATACAAACATGAAGTACATAGCGAACAAACTCGAATAAATAATTAATTAAATAAATAAATAAATAAATAAAGAAAGAAAGAAAGAAAAAAAAAGAAAAAACACAATTTAGAGGGACCTCGATTACATATATCATGTCTTATGCACACTCTTTACGATGTAAAAGGCAACAAGATAAAAAAAAAAAGAATTAATTAATTGATTAATTAATTAATAATAATAATATTAATATTAATAATAATAATAATAATAATAATAATTAATAACGATAAATAAATAAGTAATAAATAATAATGAAATAACAATTATAACGTTGGTAATTTAAATATCAGTGTGTGGCACACGATATGTTTGCACTGTGTAACAACACTGACATGATTTTTCATTGTGACGTCCACTAATATGTAAACTTATGCGATTGTAAACATGTAAGATAGCGATCGTTGTAAAATTGAACAACACACGGAACAGACATATCTCGCTAATGATAATGAATCATTATTTATTAATGATAATCGTACTTACCTTTTAAGAGATTAATTATGCATCTTAGTACGTTCAATTAGAGACACCCCCACTCGCACACGTTGTTTTAAAAACAAAAACAAACATAAATATATATTAATATTGTATAAATGTATTACATGTATATGTATATGTGTATGTATATGTGTATATGTGTGTATATTATACATGTAATATGTTTATACCTGTGTTGGAACAATTGTGCGTACAACGTATATACACACACTTTTTAACAAAAACGCGCGCGCATGTGTTTTACATGTATTTTTGGGGTATCTCAAAATTGTCGAAGATCGATGAATAAGGGAAATGAGATAAATTGATGAAAAGGGTGGATAGAAGGAAGGAAGGAAGGAAGGGAAAAAAATGGGTAACAAAAAAACAGCGATACGGAATTATCTGTCTTATATGTGTACGATCGTATCTATCCTCTGTAGAAATGCCTTATTATCACGTGCCTCGATTAATATTTAAACTGTTCACCTGCTTACCTATTACTTGTTAGTCTATGTAATGAATATACGTGTAATATCGAGTTATTCTTTGTACTGCTCTTGTAAATATATTCTGAAGAATTACTGTCACACCTGTCGTTATCGTCTCTCTCTCTCTCTTTCTTTCTTTCTTTCTTTCTTTCTCTCTAATTCTCTCTCTTTCTCTCTCTCTATCTTTCTCTTTCTCTCTTTGTTTTCTGTTTATTGTTTATTATGGCAAAAAGAAAAAGAATGAAAAAAATAATATACAGATATTATAATTTATGTGCTTTTTCTAATCATTTTAAGTTACAATATTAAATGTTCAATATTGTTGGTCGTCTATAATATGGTTTTTAAATGTATTATTTGATTAAAAATCTATTGATCTATATTGCGTATAGATCATTTATGTTTTGAGTGTTTAAATATAAACTGCCATCTAGCGGTCAATTGTAGTAATGAGACCTAGAACATAACCCTCGGCGGTAGGCAAACATTTATTCAAGTCTCATTGAAAACCCTTTGAATATGCAACTCGTTATACACTCGTGAAAAATGTAACAGTCTGCTAGATGGCACTGCTAAGCAACATTTGCTTTGAGCTTCTTGTATTATGCAACCCTTTCTACAAGCTAATTCGGATTTTTCATTTAAAATGCAGTATATTTTTTTTTTTTCTTGAAAAATTATAATTATATTATATTAAAAAACAAATTTTGTTTGTATTATATTCATATTTAATATAATATAATTTTTAATATAATTTAATTATATATGCGTTGTTCGGTTGAAAAGTTTTGAGCTTCGAGATAAAAACTTTTATTTTTTTATTTAAATAAAAGTTAATTTCACATCAAAAGAAAAACTTTTTTTTTAAGTTAAGCTCCAAAGTTTTACTACCAAATTACGCGTATGATTTTTAATTTTTTTTAAATTAAACGATATGTTAAATAAATAAATTTATTTGTAATCTTAGTTTAGAACAAACGTTCGATTAAAATGAAATAAATTATAGAAAGAAAATGATAATTTACATTAATTTAGTGTATAACAGATATACAATTTATTTACAATTTCAGACTTATTTTAGATTACATACAAAATATATGATACAAAGACAATGAATTTGTTTATACATCTTTTTAACAATACACATTTAACGTCATTTTTAAACGAAATGAACACGTGAAAATATGTCAATTGTTTAATTGACATTTGAATAAAAATGTACGCGTGTAAATGAAATAAATAATTACAATAATTAGCGCGACGACGACTATTTTACAATATTCGTTAAATAATTTTACAAATTGTTATTTATATTATTTTATACACATTAATCTAAACGGTACACGACGAAGTCCATTAACACGCATTTGATATTCTTTGAGGTAGTTAATTTAATCAGTCTATTAATCTGTTGTTTTTTTTTTTCTTCTTCTTTTTTTGTTCATTGTTACAATTCAAATCTTGCAAGAGTACAAAATATTTTTCTCTACTCGTTTGCTTCAACGCAAACTTTCTTTTATCTGTTTTATGTTAAACTCGTGTAATACGAGTTTTAAAAACAACCCACGCTCTATGTAATTATTTTCTTTTTTTTTTTGTTTGTGCAAAAAAATATTATGAGCATACACTCGAGATATGTTGTCATCATTATGACATATAATTAATTTTCAAAGTAATTGATCGACTTATTTTTTACAATAAATTACAGTACATACTACACATATGTATGTATATATATATATATATATATACATTATCCGATTATTATGAAAATGACCTAAATTATATATATATCTTCTTTCTCTATTATTAAAACGTATAATTAATGTAATCTAAAATAAATCAAAAAGTTGAGTTTAACCTTTTTGTTCTTAGTGATCCATATAAGGGTCGTCTATGCAAAGGTCTTGTTCTAACGAACGACCCATATAGGAGTCGTACGTTAACACAATATTTGTTCGTGTAAAAGCATGCAATAACTAAAGGGTTAAAGTTATGGTCATTATCATAATTGCCGGCATGCTTATGCGAAATCAAATGTACACATTTTTTTTTTCAAACGTAATAAAGATCACTGGCACAACGTTTCAAAATATAAAGATATTTATAAAGAATTTAATTGAAAGCTTTAAAAAATGTATTTCACAAAAAAATATTCAGAAGATTGTAATATGCAAGCCAATGATCTTTCATTTATAAAACGTATACACGTCTGACCTAGTTTACTACATGATTTTATGTTACGTTTACAGACGTATCTGGACTTTTTATGAAGATTTTTTTTTCTTATTCTTTTTTTTTTTTACAAGTCCCCAGGAGAAGATTTGATCGAAATTCTGATAAACGTGTGATCTGGTATTCCGTGTCCTTGTCTGAATATTACGAAGAGACATCAAGTACTCTTACAAGGATTGATATCTAGGTCAGCGATTTAGATGAACGATCAAACGTGAATGAAACGTAATCGATTCATTCTAGTACTATTATGAAAAGAAATTTCGATTTATCCGTGCAATATATAAATAAATAAATTAATTTAACGAACAATTATACAAGACTTAAGTAAAATGGAAAAGAAAATATAGAAATGAAACGAATTTGTGCAGAAAAGTCGAATAACGCGAATCCTAAAATTAAAATCGTATATACAATTGTATTTTGGTTCCAAAACGTCGATGTGAGAAAAAATTATTATCGACGTACGTATTATATTATAATTTAATTCTCGATTTTCGTTATAATTAAATTTATCCTGCATAATATTTACCTTATTAACTTAATAAATAATTATATATATATATATATATATATATATATAGAGAGAGAGAGAGGATCCACATATTATAATTTGAGTTTAAAAAAAAAAAAAAAAATATTACGGAATGACATTGAAGAATGAATCCTTTGGTAAATCTTCTACGAACACGTGAAATTATGGTAAGTAAAAATTATCGATTAATTTTAATATTCATAGAATAGAAAGATTCTTAGTCGAAGATTTGTTGTGAAAAAAATGCAATTGTAATATTCAATGATAATAATAATAATAATAATAATAATAATAATAATAAAATGAAATAAATTGAAGAAATAGTCGTTAAAGATAAATAGGCTAATTTTTTTATGCAACAGAAAAAAGAAAAAAAAAAGAAAGCTATTGAATTTGAACTAAAATCTATCTTGAAAAATGAATCGTATACGAACATTGAAATTTTGGTATATAAAAATTGTGATAAGGGCTTACTTAGAAATAATCTTAGTTAGGTTGTTGCGTAAGAAGATTTAACAGTTCATCGTTGCCCATATTGTTCAAGGTCTGTATGTCGATACCTAAAGCATTAGCTACGCTCATCATGTCGAGGCCGAAGCTCTTAAGCAGCTCGATAAAGTCCATCTCTTCTCCAGTGAACGGATTGTGAAGCTTAGGACAGCTGTGATTGCATTGTGGCCAAGTGCAACGCTCTATCAATCGGAAGTGACAGCCCTGGTGGATGCATTTCCGTTTTCCGTTAGATATCACTGAACGTTGTGGCCTCGTACCATTGAACATTCCTGCGTGGGTGTTGTTGTTACTTTGTTTCCCACCTTTTCTTCGTCCTGCGAAATTCGTTTCGTTACGTTTCAATCATTTTTTTTGCTTGTTATTATTTCTTTTTGTTTTGTTTATGTTTTATTTTTATTTATTTTTATATTTTGATTTCCTCTTTCTACTTTGTTACGCACGTCTCGATGATTTAATTTATGTTTCATTGGGTCGGAATTTGTTTGTTAATTATTATTATTTTTATATTTTATTAAGGTTTGATACGAGAAAGAATGTAATGACAATCGGAAAGTGTTTCATTTCTTTTTATTTCTTCATTTTTTTTTTTTTTTTTAATGTATATATAAGATGTTTTTTTTTTTTTTTTATTCCTTTTTATTGAAGTTTTTTTAAAGGAAGTTTTTTTAATTTTATTATTTTAATTTTTTTGATGAGATGAATAATCGAAATATGCATTTGAATAACGTAGGGTTACGCATCATTGATATCTGGAATCAAAATGGGAAAAACCCTCAAAAACAAATGTGATATAGATGATTTCTTTCTGCGATTTATTAAGAACACACACAGTATATTATCTACAAAATACATATTCTCTATATAAGATCATAACAATTATTTTCTGTTTTTTTTTTTTTATAAATATACGAATAATACGATTTTCATAGAATTAATAAAATAGAAAAAAAGAAAGAAACAAATATATATATAAACGATATATATAATATATATATTATATATATATATATATATTATAAAACATAGAAAAGAGTAAAAAAAATCTCTCACTATCTCTTTCACAAAGTATTGACACTTGTCAAAGAAAAAAAACATTTTATATTTTTAAACAAAACGTGGACTCTTTACCCGAGGCTTTTCTTCTTTCGTGTTTTTCCTTTTTCATCCTTCCATCCTTATTCTTATCCCTTCTTCTACCTTTATGCTTTCTTCTTCTCCTCTTTTTATTTTCTCTTTCCGGATCGGAAGTCGTATTATTCGCTTTCTCCTCCATTTTTTCACTAGTGAAGTTCGAATAATTCTTTTTCCTCGTCTCAGTTGGTAGATTATTTTTTTCAGCTCTTCTCAGTTGAATCAACGTCCCGTTATTCTTCGTCTGACCGGAACGGAGAAGTTTTCTCAACGATTTCGTGCACGGCTGATTCGTCTCGATTTCGGACAAAGTTCTGCGAATTTCAATTTCAATATAAAACGGTAATTTATCTCATTTTCATTTAAATAGAATAAATTACACATTAAGAAAAAAAAAAGAACGTATATACATAATAATAAATAAAAGTAAACTCTGTGTAGTATGACTAATTTAAATTGTCTAAAATTGTTTTTAAAGCTCCTGCGAATTCTGTGTACAATTGTGTATAAAGGGTTGTCTATTAAAGGTACTTAAAAAACTGCTATTACCGACAGTGGAGTATAAAGTATCATCAATTTCCAGGCGCAACGTTCATATCATTGAGAAATTATGATATTTAAAATTAGTCACATTACATCGTTCATACTCTATTATGAACTTACTCATTATGATGATTTTCAAGTGTCATTAGTTCCCAACAATGCAACGCTTGTGCCAAAGACACCTCATCTATTTTAACCAATTGCCAATCCCTTTTAGTTAAAACGCTGTGGCTGATGCAGCTAGGTGCAAAGACCGCGCTGACATTTTCGAAAGTCTGCCTCAAACTATCACCCATTTTATGAATGTAATCCCATTGTTGTTTTGTTACAGGTGCACCAACGTTGTCCACAGACATCTGGGCCTCGTCGAATATCCATTGAAAAACGAACAAAGGAGCTGCGTATTCGTAAAGATGAGTTTTTTTTTAAAATCATTTTATCAATTTTTAATCGATATATTTTTATCCGACATTGATTAGCAACTTTTTCTTATTTGTCTTAGGAATATCGTTTTCTTTTCGAAGCTAATCGATTAGTATGACTCACCAGTCAAGGTCGGATAAAGCCGATAACCAAAGTAACATCTCCAAGGCTCGTCAGGATGCTTAACAACGCAATTGTGTGGTATACGTGCTTTCCAAAGTTCCATTCCCTTGCGGACAGCATCGACAGGTGATAAACCATTCGGCGAGTACGGTGCTCTGTCAAGAAACCAGCCTGAATCTGAGACACCACGTATGGCTACATTTTTTAATCCTACAAAACGAAATCATTGAATCAATTAACCAAAAAAAGAAAATAAATGAAAGAAAAAGAAAAACAGATTAAAAAGATATATAAATAATAAACTAACCTAACTCTTCGTGAACTAAATTTTGCACGTGATCAAGATTCAACATGACACCAATTCCACCGGCACTGCTACCAGCAAGTAGCAATGAGCTTGCATTTTCAAGGCCAAGTGGTAACAGATCTCGGACAACCTGCGAGACGATCTCAGCTCCCATAAAGGAAAACATATCGTTTAGCGAGCTTCTCGTACCACTCCAACTGTCGCTGGTACAATAAGGTACAAATCTAAAGAAAATAAAAAGAAAGACAACATATGTTAGGTCAGATTGATAAAATGTTTTTTTTTTTTAAATAGGTGCGCAAGGTTATCGCGATGGACAATACCTACACGTGATTCGCATTCCACCAGAATGGATTCTCTTCCGGATTTCCTGATAACAATCCACCAACTGAAATAATTTGATGAAACATGAAATTACGATTAAATTATAACTACATATTTGTTAAAATTCAATCAAATATTATTTGTTCGTTTTTAATCCAATACAATTATTAGTGAACGTTAATTAATGTGAACTTACCGTCACGAGTTTCGGGCCATTGTGTTGATGTCATAAGATGTCTTAATTTGAGCCACCTATTTCTACAGCTCTTATGATCATAACAATACCAGCCACCTTCTAAGAAAATGATCCACCTCTTCGAACCGTGGGATTTACGTAGGTAAAAGCCCGCCTGCGAGCCATCGTTGCAAGTGATCGACCTGTTGCTTAGGTAGACCCTCTTCAATCCTCTCTGCTCCTCCAGACCATATTTCTCCAATATCTTGATCAGCTTCTGTAGCGTGTTGCTTTGTAGTCCCGGTGAACTCGATGACACCGATACCGTGTTCGTTGGTTTGTCTTCGGCGACTATCGTTAAAATCAATACCGTTAGGAACACTGATATCTGGAAACAAAATTGTATATATCATTTTTACATTTTATTTGTTTCAATTACCGGATCAATTATTATTTATAATAGATGATTTATTTTCAATTATGTTTAATTTCAATTACATTTTTTTTTTTTTACGAAATTCTTTGAAGAACCAACGTCATTTTTCTTACAACAGAAATGCACCGATACATGCAATTATTATCAACGTCATATAAATTGTTATTTATTTTCATATATTACAATTACAATATTTTCACATACACAAATTACACAAAAATTTTAAATGAAACTTATGGGATCTATTATTATGGGTATAAAATTTCATATAACCCATAGACAACAATTCGTGTCTCACCCAATATTGCAAAATAATACTAATATATATATTAATAAACGTTTAACGAATAAAATTAAAATACAATGTTAAATTAAAATATATAATAACAGTGATGATAACATGTAATACAAAATACGACAAAATTCTGAGAATTACCGAACCATATTTGTTTTGTTCAAATTATATATTAATGGACAAATTTTTGAGTTAAGATTAGACCGGTCATATGAACCATAAGTACAAAAATCGATGGAAAGGTAAAGAAGAAGAAGAACAACAACAACAACAAGAATAAGAACAAGGGGAAGGGGGATCAGAGTTAGAAAGGATGATGAAAGGGAGGAGCAAAACGTAGATTCTTGGCGCCACCACTCTCTTTCCATATAGTTTCCTCTTTCTCCACCTCCTTGGTCCTACCCTCCCTTCCTCCCTCTCCCCTTCTGCCACCTGTCACTCTCTTTCTCTATATACGTGTCTTACCTTTTTTCTTATTCTTCTCCCCACCCCACCCCACTCCACTCCTCCACTTCTTTTCCTTTCACGAAAGCAACCACTAAGGATCGAGTTCCAGGTTTCAGAACGGTAGCCGGTAGCGCAAACATATCTCGAAAACAGAAGCTCGCTTCCAGATTAAAGGTTGCCGCTAACATGGCCGAAGGCAGGAAAAAGAGAGAGAAGAAAAAAAAAAGTTGTTCCATTGGCGTGACGTAATTCTAATTTGAATAGGCGCTGGATATTCGATCGTTTTATAATTTAGATATTTTTTTTTTGTTTTTTTTTTTTTTATGCATAAGATTTTATCGTCACGTGTCGTGAATTTGTATTTTGTACTTATCGATTGAATTTGATTTATCTGTAATTTTTTATACATCTCATACGAACTTTATTTTATTATTTGGTATTGTATAAATTAATTTTTGATATGTTTTTTTCATTTTTTTTTTTTTTATTTCCCAAGGACAACTTACGAGATCAGATGATTGATTACGAGATCGATATCATGTTTTATGCATCGATCAAAAGTTTTTTTTTTTTGCATTTATCGTATATTTATTATATTTGTTTTGCATATCTTTAATTTTTGGCCTGTTTTTAGTTTTTTTTTGGTAGTATCAAGAATAAATTATTAAAAAAAAATGAACTCTTTATTGGATTTATTAAATTTATTTAATAATGAATGTAAAATTAATGATAAAAGGATATAACCGAAAGAGTATTATTAGAAATAACCGAAATTACATGCTGCGGTTGGTTACACATTTTTAATGTCATGTGATTTATGTTGATCGTTAAAATTTGGGAAGATTTAATCAGTATGCTTTTAACAGATATTTTATTTTTTTTATTTTTTAAGATCTCTCAAAAGATCATTCTCAAAGATTTCTGGAGACTATAAAACGAGAAGAGTTCAAGATAAGATCTTTACTCTTGTTGATTTCGCGCAACTTCTGACGCTTTGCATCGGGACGTTACTTTTTTCCTTAATTTCTTAAAAAATTCAAGGTCAGTTGGGGTTTGAAAGAAAAATGTCTCGATTTGTCGTAAAACGAAGTGATTTTGGGAACAAACAAAAAAGTAAAAAAAAAAGAAATAGGTATAATTTGAAAGGAAGGAACGAATCTATTGTGAATAAGATCAACTATTTTGAAGCGGAACGAGTTCGGCAAGTTAAAAAGGAATTTGCGATAATGCAGGGCAAATTTGAACTTTCGAGAGGTCGTAAATAAAATTGACGACTTGACCGTGTCTTCTTCTTCTTCTTCTTCTTCTTATTCTTCTTTTTTCATGCTTTGCGTAACCACTTTATTATATCGTAAATCATAATCCCGTTTCTCTTTTGACATTAAGATTCTTGAGAAAAAAGAACATGGAACTAGGAATCGTCTAAGACATTTTTTCTTTAACTTTTTCTTTTTCTTCTTCCTTTTTTTTTACTTCTTTTTTTTTTTTTTCCTAAAATACGCATTTTTTACCTCACTTTTATTCGTATCGATTTTATCACGTCGTAGTTCAAAATTTTAATTGCAAGTCCTTGCCGTTTGAAAAATAATGTTTCAACTAATTAAGTATAATATATATGCGTGTATGCAAAATTATTATTCCTTTTTGTATTTTTTTTTAACTCTTTACTATAAAATTTTACTCTTTCTTTATTTTTTGTCATTTTACCTGTTTTAGAATTTACGAACACTCGATTAATTTTATTAGATTTATTTTATTTCTTTTTTAACGATCAACGTAAAATATTTTTAATATTATAATTATTTTTCTTTTTCTTATTTAATCAATTGTAAATTTCTATCTTGTTTTTATATTTAAATATTGTCGATGAAAAATATTGCAAAGATTTTTGTCGGTTATAACAATTTTATTAAAAAAATATTCAACAACTTTGAACTCTCTATCTTTATCTTTCTTTACCACTCTTTCTTTCCTTTTCTTTCTTTCTTGGGTATCTTTTTCTCTGTTTCTCATTTCCATCCCTCTTTTGGCGTATTAAAGCGTGAAGGTGTCCGTCATAATTTGCCACCCGGCTTATAATCCCCGTGACAAAGGCCGACAAAGAGATGGCCTTTACCTTCTATGTTAAGCTACGTTCAACCCGGATTCTAGTAGCCGTTCGAAACGTTTAAGGTAGCCGAAGAACGAACAGAAAGTACTGAACGAACGAACAAGTCTAACCTAAGGAACCCCTCATCGTAAAAAAGATTTTTTTTTCATTTTACCAGCAAGCCATTCAACCTAACAGCTATTCGTTAACTAAAAAGAATAAAGAAAAAAGAAAGAACAAGGAAAAATACAAGTAAATAAGTAAGTGTATGTAATAACATGATGTATATTACGTACCATTATCTACGATGTAGAAACATAATTCTCGTAACTCTCGTGAAACTTCAAACGATGACGTTTAACTTGTAAAACTATGATCTCGTGCAAGGGTCTCGTTCGAACAGGTACGAGATAACGAGAAGGAACGAGTTAAGTATTCTTCGATAACGATATTCCTACTTTAACGTTTTTAATCTACTAAGCATTAAATTAAAAACAAAAACAAATGTATTTTTAATCGGACAAATATATTGATTCAAACGAATATCTTTATATACAGGTTCAAATAAATTCTATTGAGACTTTTTCAAATAAGACATTTACGAGTTCATTGAAACATACTCATCTTAATGTACACGAGAACATTTATAAAAACTCATTTTAAAGTTGTATACGTTAATGAACACAGTCATCTTTATGTCTACAAGGCATATTTGAACCACCAACTCATCTTAAAATGAGATTTTGCAAGAGTAGGAAAAATGTAAAAAAAATAGGGATAAATGTTTGAGTTGGGATGTGAAAAAGATTTAGAAAATAGTATGATGGTTGTGTTGAGTATGGTTGCAATGTCGGTACCTTTGAAATTCGTTGCCGGTAAGTCGTTGATCGTCGTTCACATCGCGTTTCGTCGTCCGGATGTTGATGATGATGGTGGTGAGAGACGAGCGTCTCGTTACCATTACGAGAACCGCTCACGCAGCTCGTATTCGCCGTTGCTAACACGCACCAACCTCGCATTACCATAACCGCGTACACAAGGACCAACTCGTTTCATCTCTTTCTTTCTTTCTTTCTTTATTTATTTATTTTTTTACTTTTTCTTTTTTTTTCTTCTTGATTTCTTACTTTCTTGCTCTGTTACTTACAGAGGGTTTCATCCAAGAGAGAAAGTTGAGTTTCTTACGTTGCATTGGTGTGTGTATGAGCCTTTCGAGTTCAACTTAACGAGCCTAGAACGACTTGATGAAGCGCGAAACTAACGCTCACCAATCTTCGTATGACTGCGCAATGATCATGATTTTATAATGATTTCGAATTTTATACTAATTATTTTTGTATTATAAATTATTTTGTCAAATAATTAAAGTAATATTCTCCTCATCATTGAAGTTCGTTGCTATTTTTTTTTATTAAAGTATATATTTCATAGTTTAATTCTTGGTCAAGCTTAGAATTTGCGATGGAATAAACTAATTTCCAAACGATCATGAATTTCTTCTACGCTTTTGTGAAATTTTTTTTTTAAATAACAGAACAAGTTTATAGTTTCTTAAATATCAAAAGTTCATTCAAAAAATTAAAGACACGAAATTTAGACAAAATCCAATAGTAATATAAACTAACTAGATATATCATACTAAAGAGATTCTTCCTAGGTCCTAATAAAGATGACCTTTCTGAACTAAAAGTGCTAACATTTGGCATAAGTCCAGGACACAATTGAAGATGCCATTAAATCTACGGAAATAACTTTTGATATTTGAAAGTTGAAAAAAGTCATCAAAATGTTGAGCAAACATATTTGCCAAAAACTTCCTATTATCTCAAAATAATTCGAGATTTATTAAATCATTAAATCTATAAAGAAAGAAAGAAAAAAATAAAAAGAAAACAAATCCCGATCGTGATCCAATCAAGAAGATAATTTTGCTCGATTTTCTTTAATAATGTAACCTATTTGATAAAAGTATATGAATAAGGAACTGAAACAGAGGGTAGACGGTTGGTTACTTAGGTTAACTGTCAAAAACACTGAGTAGAAAAGCCACGTAATATTTGACGTAATTTATGACGACGAAGGACTTTCGCAAAACACAGAGTAAAAGAAGGAGAAACGAAAACGAAGACGAAGAAGAAGAAGAAGAAGAAGAAGAAAGAAGAAGAAGGAGGAATAAGTAGAATGAAATAAAGGAAGAAAGAAAGAGATAGAAAGAGAGAGCAGGTGGCAAGATAGGGTATACGTTGGTGGATTAAGGCGCGGAGCGGCGAGTCAAAGAGATTTTCTCCCCATTCCGTCGCGGTGGGGGCCCCTCGGCCTAACAAGGGCTGAAATATGACTGCCTTGCTCTACCTCAGTTCCCTCTTATCTCCCCTCTCTGTTTCCCCTTCTCTTCGCGCTTATTCACTCTCACTCTTCTCTTTCTCTCCTTCCTCTCCTTCTGATTCGAGGCAAGCACTGTAGTTCGCATCACCGAGGTAAGCAAGGAAAAGCAAAGGAGATATCTTCTCTTCGACTAATTTATCGATCTTTCTATCTTCTTTCATTTCAAAATATATATATATATATTATATTTCATATGATGTGTATATTGATTGATATAATATATTTCATATATATATATGATATATTATATAATATTATATTATTCTTATATTATTATATAATTATTATATATATATATTTTATATATTTTATATATTTTATATATTTTTATATATTTTATTATTTCATATATTATTCTTGCCTAATTATTCTTTACTTCTTCTCATTATTTATTTTCTTTTCCTTTTTTTTTTTATTATATTATATACTTATAGCTTTCAAATATAAATCACACCTAGTCTAGGGATGGTCTAATCTTTATTATGACATATGTATATGTTTTTAATATTTAGAAATTTATATCTTTATTTGAGCGGCTATTTAATATGTTGTTTAGTATTTATTAGTCGCAACCTTTTTGGTAATAAGTATTAGATGTTCGTAGAGAGAAGTGATTCATTGTCAGACTCGTAAGAAAAAAAATAAGAAGGATTATATACTATTTATTAATATCCCATTAATAATCATCTTTGTTTCTTGTTTTTTTTTTTTTTTTTTTTTTAATATAAAATCGAAAATAAATATAACATTTCTTTTCTCTCATTGTTGTTCTTACAATTAGATAAAGAAAAAAAAACCAGATAAAAATCCTAGTAATCGTCATATATCATACTATTTCTTTATTATTATAATGTAATAAAGAATAAGTGTAAAAAATTCTATAACATAATTAATATTAATAATAATAAATAAAATAATAAATAAATATTGTTACACTTTTTTGAACATTTTTTTGTTTGTTTAAGAATTTTCTAAAGCTAGGAAGAAAGTTAGAATATGAATTGAGAATGATCGGTGTGCGTTTGTTCGTCGTGTATGCTTGTATGTTAGTGCTTATCTGCGTGTATGGTAGGGAATGGTAGAGAGGAGAGATGGTGATGGTAGCGGTGGTCCATCGGAGTAAATATATTGGATGGTGGTAGGATTGGTGGCGGTGTCTTCCGCTCTCTACTTGAGCCGCGTGCCCGCTCGCTCGTTCACGCCCGAGGTGCGCCTTTGATGTGCCGCCTACATCGTCTTCTTGCTAACTCTTTCTTTCCTTCTCTCTCTTTCTTTCCTTCCCTCTATCCCTTTTCTTCTTCTCTTTCTCTCTTCCTTTCTTTTATATTTTATCGAGGAAGGAAGTTTAACTCCTTTTCTCTTATCCTCGTCGGGGAGAAGTTGGCAAAAAGGTGTAGGGAAAAAGAGAACTTGGAAAATCGTGCTTCTTATTCGTGGAATTGCCACAACGATTAGACACGTTTTTATTTTTTATTTTTAGTTTTTTGTTTCCCTCCCTTATTTCTTTTTTTTTTTTTTTTTTATATAAAAATTAAAGAATTAACGTGATATATGATTGCCTTGAAAATCTTTTATTTTAATAGATATCGACTATTGAAATAGTTTCTAAATTATATTTGTTTTTAACATTTCTAACGTAAATTTATATTATATTTTCTGTGGATCTTGTTATAAATTTGATATTTACAGTATTATTATTCTAAATCACTTTTATACAAAAATTGCATTAAACGTAGTTCGTTCCATACTTCTATACTTTTATACTAAAACAAATTTTAAACGTTTTAAAGTAATCAACGAAATAATGTTAATGAATTTTGCGCGTTATTCGAAACATTATATGAAAATTTGAAAATTTTTTCCAAACCTTTCAAAAAAAAAAAAAAAAAACGAAAAATACAAAACGAACGAAAGGAAGTGTTAATAATCTTGATACAAAGTTCAATGAGTAAGGCGAAATTGTCCATAAGAGTGCAGTAGCAGGCGAGAGTAGGCAATCATTTTACGGGGGCTTATTTCGAAGATCCCCGTTCTTCTTTCTGTCCTTTGCTATCTCTCTCTCTCTCTGTCTTTCTCTCTCTCACACTTATTTTGCAGAAGGAGAGATTCTTCACGCGTACTCGACTGGTACGCGGGGTTCTCTGGTGTTCTTGGTGTACTCTTTCCGGAAGCCCCTCGCGCGAACTTCGGCTTACTTCAAAGGTTCCCTCCGCGCAAATCGGCACCGGCACCGTACAAATCGATAATGCGATTCGTGCTCTCTCTCCATGACGAGTATAACTCCCTACCTCAATCCTCCCTCCCCCCCCTACCGCCTACTTCCCGCCCTTCTTTTCATCACCCCCTTCTCCCTTTTCCCACTTCTACCCCTTTACCTTTTTCCTCTTCGTTCGTTCTCCACAATCGCCCTCTTCATTCTTCCACCCATCCTTTTTTTCTCGATCAAATCTGGATCTCTACTTTCTTTCATTCTTTCTCTCTCTCTCTCTCTCTCTCTTTTTCTAGCTCGATCGATTCTTTTCTTTCTTTCTTTCCGAGTTCATATTAAACGAGATCTAATGAGATATCTTTCTCTCTTTCTCTTTCTTACTGCCCACGCGTCTTTTAAAAACCAGAGAAATAAAAGTAAATGAAAAGAAAAAAGGGAAAGATCGTTCGATCTTAGTCGTGGATCGTATAACACACGAGGATTTCTAATTAAAAATCTTCTTAATGGGGAACGATCAATCGAGTTAGGTATAAGAGAGAGATCTTTTATATTTTACATTATCTTCTTCTTGTTTTCTGATCTTTCTTTTCTTCTTTTTTAAATCCAATTTCATCAGGGAAGGAGGAGGATTAAAATGGGATTTAATGTAACTTATGAATGTTTTCGTAAAATTTCGGAATATTGATAACGATCTATTCCATAGATCTAATTGATTCTAAGAATTTTATTTATGAAATTATAAAGGATTTATATTTTATATATATATATATATATATATATATATATACATCGTTTGATTAACTAGGAAGTAAACTGCGTTCGTTGAAATTAATCGAATAAAAATGAGTAGTGAAAGTTGATTAAATATTTCTTAATTGATCACCAAATACAAAGGAAAATTTATATCAAATTAAAATAACAATTGGATCGTTTATTATTATAATTAATATCATTTCTAAAGTCACGTTTACTTCCTTGTTGATCCACGAGAACCTTTCTCTCCCTTTCTCTTCTCGGTAATAATTACTCAACCTAATCTCTAGATATAGTAACGTTCTATTTAAACGTTTTTATGAGAAACGATTATGATTACTCATATCCAACATTATAGTAGAATTTTAACTTATCTTTCCTCCCCTTTTTTCTCGTTCTTATTCTTCCACGAAAATGCTTACTTTCATCCTCCTTTGAGGACCATCTCTCTTTCTTTCATATATATATATATATAGTTTATGTGCATTAATATAAACACATTTACACACACACACGCATATTTACATAGTTACACGCACATATGTACATACTTAACATATGGTATATATAGGAATAAATTCAATATATGTTCATACATAGGTACACACCATGTATATACGTATGTATACATATGCACATAGAAATGTATATATTTAGATGCATATACAAACA